TCTGTCTGTCTGTCTGTCTGTCTGTCTGTCTGTCTGTCTGTCTGTCTGTCTGTCTGTCTGTCTGTCTGTCTGTCTGTTTGTTTGTTTGTTTGATTTATACCCCGCCCATCTGGTCTAAAAGATTACTCTAGGCAGCTTCCAATATAGTAAAAACAGTGAAATAATACAAAAAACACAAACAATTACATAAATCATATTGTAATAAACAGAATACAACAATAGAATAGAAAATACATAAGGAGAGAATAAACAGAAAAGTCAGATATTAACTGGAGGGAAGGCCTGAATGTATAGCCATGTTTTTAATTGACTTTTAAAAGTGTCCAAAGTGGGGGCCGCGCAGATCTCAGGAGGGAGACTGTTCCAGAGGCGAGGAGCCACCGCCGAGAAGGCCCGGTTTCGTGTCCTTTCTTTCCCGGCCTCCAGGGCGCTGGCCGAGCTCTACGACGGAGAGGGCATTTAGGCGTGATCATGTCTATAGCCCTGGTTGCGAAGGTAGACCAGCTATCAACCAGAGCGTCGACAGGAGTGCTAGCCAGATCTGCCGTTGTTTAGTTATAACTAGTTGTTAGTTATCCATTGGAATATCCAGAGGGGTGTTACTACAATGAGAAACAGCAAAATTGCCCAGTAAATTTTAACCAGTCCTACCAAGGAATAAGCAGAAAAGCAGCATTCCCTGTTGCTGCTTGCTGTTCTGGGGTTCTCGCACTTATTATCTCTAGGTCCTATAGCAGCACATATTTTCCCATTTGACAAATAATTTGCTTTCAAATGTCACAGGCATCTGGAGGCTGAAAAACCGACGCACAATATCACTAGAAACAATATACCAAAGTACAGACAGGCAAGAAGTGACATGGAAGCTGCTGCGGTCAAGCAGGACACGGAGAACACAGGAAGGACATGGATTTGCACATTAAACTTTTCCTTCTCCATGTCTGTCATCTTTGAAATTTTCTATCAGTGCTTTACCGTGATGAAGTAAGCTCAACTATGATTCCATGTTTGCACTTAAAATATGCATAATTGAACAAAACACGCTTCAGATATTTAAACTAGATGTAAATGGTTCTACATGTTCAGGGGAAAAATGTGTTTAACATGCTCATGAATTTCCATGCAGAGATTGTAGGCTTCCAAGGTCAACAGCAAAGTGGGTGTTGGAACTGGGGAAAATATAGGAAAATGAAGACTGAAAATGAAACAGTTCCTCCACTTAATATGTGTTTGCCTATTAAGAGGACCACAGATTGGGATCAAGGGAAGCATATGTTCTAACATCCTTTACAGGCAGCTGCCGGGGGCAACAGCAACAGGGAACGGTAGCCTTGATAAATAAACCTGAAAGCAGGCAAGTAAAACACAGAACAAACTTTCATCTTGTGCCAGCTTCGATTGGTCACTGACCCAACAATTGCACTCATTCCACGTTTAGCTGTCCTTGCTGCACTAAAAAAAATCCACATCGCAGCTAGTTTTTACCTGAGGGAACTTTAGTTTTGGGGACACTTGTAGAGCCAGTTTCACAATTGATTTGGCAGCCTTAGTAAGCGGAATGCAGATATGCCTGGTGGGGCCCTTCTGAACCAATCAATATGCATGTCCTTGAGTGCTTGCAACCCACAGATCCCATACCCTGAGTTCACCCTTTGCTGTCAGTCTGTGCTAATTCTCAAATTATATTGCTTGAGCACAAGCTCTTCATATGACACCTGGATTTCATATGCTGCTGATTTTCTGCAGGTGGCGGCGGTGGCAAGGCTAACTGCTATCAAACAGAACTGGTTTGCTTCTAGCTCCACATTTAAAAGAGAGGAAGCTGAATATTTAATAGAAGATACTGTGTGGCTATCTCTAAAATATTTAAATATAGAGAATGAAATGCACTGTCCTCTCGCTGGCAGAGGAAGAAGGAGACAGTATACTTAATGCAAAGAACAAACCGTATTTGACCTGGAGTCTTCTTGTTCCAACACTCTAGCCTATGACCATATGGGCTTTCTCAAATCAATTGTTGCTACAGGAATAATTCCAAAATAATAAGTATAGTATAATTGTACAAACACAATGTACCATTGCTTAATTGACACAGTATGAGTGCCTGGATTTTAAGAACTAGAATATGGCAACTCTGATTATGTTGAGAATGGCTTTCCTTCAAGATCAAGCCTTAAGCCGTTCTTCCTGTGTTGTTTCCACAAGTAAGGACTCTGAACTGTCACTGTCCCACCTGCCAAAACCCCTCTACCTGGAACAGATGTTGCAGGAGAATCAATATGGGTGTCACTGACCCAGAAAGACAAACTTCATACACCCACATAGTAGCTATGTTTGTTGCAACAGAGGGGGTTTTAGGAGGGTATTTAGATCTTTGCACCAGGACTCCAGGGCTGACTGTTCGGAACGCAGGACTGAACATAATCTGTGCTGCCCATTACAGTTGAAACTATGGGGCCAGCCACAATTCTCCAGACCCTGTTTGCACTGTCATTCACAACTGTAGTGATCTCAGATCCGTAAGACTTTTTTGCTTTTGATTTCTCATTTCATTTCATTTGCTGGGCAAATTCTATGCACTAGTCTATGTTTCTCCTGTCATTGTTTTTTCTGTGATTCACTCCTTTGGGGAATGTACAAAGTCAAGCTTTATTTAAGGAAGAAGAGACAATGAATGTCTGCATTTTATTTTTCAATTTTAACCTCTACACATATTGCCTTAGAATTAATCTGTGTTTCTGAAGTCAGGGTTTTGAAGTCTACAGTGATAGTTTGTGTAGTTGAATCTTACCACCTTATGTCCTCACTGGGTGTATTGCTCTGTTATTTCTATTGCTGTATTATTTCTATTTCTATTGCTACAGCTTCCAAACTGTGGAAGCCAGTTGATGTTCAGTTCTATTTGTTTACATGGTAGTCAACATGGTAGAAACAGAGGCTGAAGCGTACTGAAAATTTTAGGATGGAGCACCCGGGTTGCTGGTACATTCCTGCTGGACAAGTAATCTAAACTTTAAATATTATCTTTCCATGATGCAAGCTGCCTTGTTTCTTTTTTAAGAAGAAAGGCAGGATAAAAATATTTTAAATTAAAAAAAATAGATTGTGGTCAAATGTAATGTAACGATAGAAATAAAATCTAGCTCCAAGCATGCAGAAAGGATTACTACTATGTCACAGGATGACCTGCAACTCAGCAGTAGCCATTATACCTGGCTTTTCTATTAATTCCAGAACACAAAATCCACTTCAGAGTTTGGATTCTGTGAAAACAGGTCACTTGTGTAATGAACAGCTGAGTTTCTTTGTTGATATATATTTTGTATAATTGTTCTGTTATGGTGTGTGTATGTAAGAGCATATGCAAAGAATTATGGACAGGTTTGGAATACCTGGCTACAAAATATATTTTTTTCATATGGACAATGATGAGCTTGTGGTTGTAGAATGAGGTTATGAGAGTGAGCCAGAAAGACAGAGGCAGGAATGTGCATGAGAACTGTGAAGAGAGACTACTGTACTTAAAGAGTAGTTTAAGATTAATTACATTGATGACACTAGAATAACTCAAGGATGATAAGGAGTAGCAATCTGGCATCAATAATAGTATTCAATAAATTCATCCATTTTCCAAAATAACTTTATGGTCACCTGGTCATTTATGCCACTGAAGTTGAAGGAAAAACTTTATGCACATACAATAGTGATTGTCTGGGTATGTTCAGAACCAGGGTGATAGCAGTTACCCTGAGAGAACATGGAAGTATTGAGGTGAATTTCTGTCTGGGGTAAGGGAATGCCAAAGGTGATGGTTATCAGTGGTGGGAGGGACAACCAAACAGAAGCTGAATCCTTTCTGGGCATGTGTGAGGAAGACTGTCTACTATCATTAGGATAGGAGAATCTCGTTTTGTGAGAATAAAAGAATTTTTTTTTCCCAAATTGGTTCCTTTTCAAAGGAAATTGGTACATACTTTCATATGAGGTGGGAATGTGAAAAAGTACAAAGATTTTGGAAGCTAATCTTTAAAGAACTAAATGACATGTGAAAAAGATATAGAATTAAATCCTGAGATAGCTCTCTTATCAATATTTGAGAATGTGGAATATGATAAGATGACTAGACCAATTTATTAACAGCAGCCAGATAAATAATAGCTAGGAATTGGAAATCAAAGTCTGAATTTCGAATGGAAGAGTGATATAATGAAATATGGAACATTGCTATAAAGTTAACTTGTAACTTAAAGGTTAAGAAAGGAGAGATGGAAAAGAATAATTTCTACCGCATTTCCCTGAAAATAAGACAGGGTCTTATATTAATTTTTGCTCCAAAAACACATTAGGGCTTATTTTCAGGGGATGTTTTATTTTACAATCATGTCATCTTCTTCTGGTTGCTGCACAATGCTGCACAATGGTGGGGGGTGGGGTTTCACTTAATTAGGGCTTATTTTTGAGGTAGGGCTTATATTAAAAGCAAAAAAGGGCTTATTTTCAGGTTAGGTCTTATTTTCAGGGAAAGAGGGTATTCATGTATTTTACATATACATCCTCTTTTATATTTTTCTATGAACTTTATTAATATGAATAGTAGTCCCAATTAAATTTACTTCAAGAGTATTTCATAATTTCCTCCAAAACCCACTCAGTCTGAATTTAAAAATACTGAAAATTAATTAAAGATTGCATTTAATTCATTATAGCAGAAATGTTAATCAGTTTTTATGATATATGGGGCAGATTTCTTCAACATGTGTTAACAAGAGGAAAAGGGGAAGATCCAAATCAAGAATCAATGCAGGTCTGGAGAAGAAGACAATAAAGGAAGAAGAATAAAGATAGAGGAAGAAGAGGATTACTGCAAGATATCCTGACTATGGTGGTGGGAAACACAGTTGATTTGTATTTTGGTCTATGTAGTTTATGTTTATGTTGTAGTTTAGGAAAACTAAATAAATAAGTAAAAAATAATAAGGAAATACAATAGAAATAAGGAAATGTCTGCATTGGGAATGGCCATTGTGTTGCTGATTATCCAAGGACAACCCAGTAATAAAGACATGCCATAAAGTCAATTCTTACCAACGGCGACTCTTTACTAGACACAGAGTACTAAGAAGTAGTTCACTGTTCCCTTCTTCTGGGAGCACTAGGACTAGGCAGCTTGCCCAAGGCTACTCAGAGAGACTCATCCAGATTCTGGTTCTGCAACTAGGTACCCACTTGAATGAGTTATCCATCTAGCCACTGAAGTATTACCTACCTAATCCCTGGGCCCGTGGCTGTACAATCCAAATGAAATCCACGCTAGAAACTCTTAGCAACGTGACCGCTCTATGCCCCATAGTTGTTTAAATTGTTGAGGCAGCTTGCCCAAGGCTACTCAGAGAATGAGTTATCCATCCAGCCACTGAAGTATTACCTACCTAATCTCTGGGCCAGTGGCTGTACAATCCAACTGAAATCCACGCTAGAAACTCTTAGCAACGTGACCGCTCTATGCCCCATAGTTGTTTAAATTGTACACCTTCAATACTGGACTATGTGCGGGCTTGTCGCAGCAATTGTAGCTTTGAACAATTCAAGAAAATCTCTGGGCCAGTGGCTGTACAATCCAACTGAAATCCACGCTAGAAACTCTTAGCAACGTGACCGCTCCATGCCTCATAGTTGTACACCTTCAATACTGGGCTGTGCGCGGGCTTGTCGCAGTAATTGCTTATAGAGTTGAAGCAATTGTAGCTTTGAACAATTCAAGAAACTATGCCTTTGAACATACCAGTTAAAACCAACTGCAGAGTCTGCTGGATCTGGGCAAGATTAATAATTAGGCAACACTGTCCCCCGTTAGTGTCATATTGACTGAACGATAAAAATAAACAATTCACCCTGAATAAATTATCCTATGATGGATTTTTTTTATTATATGGAGAATATAAAAAAGCTTGAGGATACTCTAAATTTGCCCAAAGCGCATTCACTTACATAGACTGCAAAAATGGTTAAGAAGGGATTTAGAAGTTCCTTCTTCCAGGTTTGTGACCTTCAGTTTTGCTTACGGGATTGTCCAGAAAAGACATCCTGGAATTCTTTTAAAGTGGAGGTGGGCAGCTTGCAGCAACCCCCAGTATCCCTGGGATCTCCTAGCACCCCTGGTGCCCCCAATTTTGGTGGAAAAATTGTTCAGAAAGTGTCTCCTGTGGTCTAGGGGCTGTGGTGGATAATCCTGAATTGTTTAGAAGTCTTCCAGAATTCCTGAGGTGGCCACATCCCTGAATATTGTTGGGTTTAAAAAATGCTTTGAGTCCAGCAGAGGACTATCATTTTTGTAAGAGAAATCTATGGGAGTGTGAGGTTGGAGGAGTGGATATAGTCCTCCAAATTCTGGGACAGACATTTGTTCCCGATTCCAGACTGCTGGAGCCCTGTTTTACAAAAATATCATAGCATAGGATGCCTTCATGATGGTGTCATCTCATGTTATAAAAGGAAAAATAACATTTTTTAAAGTTCTCGGTTCCTCTGACAAAGTCCTGAAAAAGAGAGAAATGGTTGGAGAGAACCCACAGACACAGGTAATTAGCAAATACAGGTAGCAGGTTTATTAGAAAAGGAAGGAAGGAAGGAAGGAAGGAAGGAAGGAAGGAAGGAAGGAAAGAAGGAAGGAAGGAAGAAGGATGGAAGGTGAGAAGTGGAAGGAAGGAAGGAAGGAAGGAAGGAAGGAAGGAAGGAAAAGAGAGGTCTTGCAAGACAGAGAGCAAGGGGTCAAAGACCAGAACAAGCAGCTCGAAGGTTAGAGAAGTCCATACATACTCAATACAGTTCTTGATCATTTTCTTTTGCAAAATGTGTAGCAAGGGCGCACAAATTTTTTAGACCCAGGTACTATATCTGATGCCTGGGCAGTCCCTGGGGACTCTCAGGCACTAGATATACAGTATTAATCTACTCTTTAAGTAGTATAATCCTCCTTCATAGTATGATTCTGTGGAAGATCGCAGAGGCGGAATGGAAGACTGCTTCTCCATGACTGAGACCCAGTTAGAACTGCTGCTTTCTTATTTATTTATTTATTTATTTATTTTATTTTATTTTATTTTATTTTATTTTATTAGATTTTTACCCCGCCCATCAAGACCAAAGGTCTACTCTTTGCTTAATGTGTAGACATCACAATTGGGCCAGCAACATGACCATATCTTCCTTCAATCACATGGAGCCTCATTCACATATAGAGGTAAAGGTGGCTAAAAGGTAGGCAGGCAAATACGTATGACTTGAACTGGAATAATATGAAAAGAGGCAAGAAGCTTGATAGCAACTCTATTGCTACTGCAACATTCAGGCAGGGAAAAGTTGAGCAGAAGGCAATGTTAGCTCATTGAAGCTGTGTACCTTGGACAGAGAGCAAGGGGTCAAGGACCAGAACAAGCAGCTCAAAGGTGAGAGAAGTCCATACATACTCGATACAGTTCTTTATCATTTTCTTTTGCAAAATGTGTAGCAAGGGCGCACAAATTTTTTAGACCCAGGTACTATATCTGATGCCTGGGCAGTCCCTGGGGACTCCCAAGCACTAGATATACTGTACAGTATTAAACTACTCTTTAAGTAGCATAATCCTCCTTCATAGTGTGATTCTGTGGAAGATCGCAGAGGCGGAATGGAAGACTGCTTCTCCATGACTGAGACCCAGTTAGAACTGCTGCTTTCTTATTTATTTTAGACCCAGGTACTATATCTGATGCCTGGGCAGTCCCTGGGGACTCCCAAGCACTAGATATACTGTACAGTATTAAACTACTCTTTAAGTAGCATAATCCTCCTTCATAGTGTGATTCTGTGGAAGATCGCAGAGGCGGAATGGAAGACTGCTTCTCCATGACTGAGACCCAGTTAGAACTGCTGCTTTCTTATTTATTTTATTTTATTTTATTTTATTTTATTAGATTTTTACCCCACCCCCCTAGACAGTGTCTACTTCTTACCAGCACTAGCACCAGATAGGCAGTGATACCAATCACTCACGTAAGGGAGCAATTTGTCAGAGAAAGGAATCAGTGATGGGGGCCTTGGGGGCCACAGACAGCCTAAAGCCCATAGGTTCTACACATTGAATTTGCAGCTAAGCAAATATAATTTCAAGAATGTGTGGAGTTCTTCAGTCTGCTTGTAGGCTGCCAATTGACCCTCTTTGCCTAAGAAATTGATTGAGGCATGTCCCATAGTCTGCACAGTGTTCTTACTCATTAACTTGTCCAAATTTTCTGTTGCTTTCCCTTCCAGTCACTATCTGGTAGCCTTCCCTGCAATTGTCCATTCTACTAGCACTGAACAGTTCTGTATCCTCCTACAATCCCTTCCAGAGACAGTCCATGTAAGTGTAACACTGGAGATGTTTCCATCCCAGAACCACACTCTGCTGGATAAGGAAATAGAGAAGCCGGGGATCTATGAGTGCCATCACTTTCAGGTAAACTTCCTAATAGAGTATATTTACCATAAGAAGGGTCCTGATAACTAGGGGAAGTCAATGTTGCACCTCTGCCTCAGGCAAGAAATATACCAGGAGCAGGTTAACCTGATGGCACAGGCAGTTTTCCAGATCACATTACTATTATTTTTACTATCACTATACATACCTCTTAGTTTATTGATATCCAAGCAAATTTTGCACTTTAAGCATATCACATGACTATTACACACAAACAGAAATGTTACTATTGAACTCAGATTAAAAAAGAATAATTTTTCTCTAGTCATCTGGCCTTCTAGACAAAGCATCCACGACCACATTCTGAGATTCCTTTACACTGTGGATTTCAAAATCAAAGTCTTGCAAAATAAGTGCCCATCTCGTAAGTTTACTGCTATTAGATTTCATAGTTCGTAGCCACACCAAAGGGGAATGGTGCAGAGGACGAATTTCCTTCCCCAAATGTAGGGCTTCAGCTTTTGCAGCATCCATACAATAGCTAGACACTCTTTTTCAATAGTGGATAAATGTCTCTCACCAGTTTGAAGTTTCTTGCTTATGAAGATCACTGGATGTAGACTCTTGCTGTCCTCTGTTTGGCACAGCACGGTTCCCAGTCCCATGTTTGATGCATCCATGTAAATGATGAACTCACGGTCAAAGTCTGGTGCAATAAGGACAAGTTTTGAAGTCAGTGCCATCTTCAGACAATCAAAGGCCACCTGGCCTTCTGATGTCCACTGGATGTTTTCAGCTTGTCACCTGGCCTTCTGACGTCCGCTGGATGTTTTCAGCTTGCTCCTTTCAGGTCAAGTTTGTTAACGGAGCAGCTATTTCACTAAACTTCGGGACAAAACGTCTATAATATCCAGCTAGCCCAAGGAACGCTTGGATTTTCTTTTTAGAGTAGGGACAAAACGTCTATAATATCCAGCTAACCCAAGGAACTCTTGGATTTTCTTTTTAGAAGTCAGGATGGGCTAAAGTATCAATAGCTTCTATCCTTGTATCTAGGGGTTTGATCATCCCCCCTCCAATAGATGCCCTCAGGTACCTTATTTCAGACAAACCAGCATCACATAACCTTTGCAACACGACCTCTAGATGGGAGATCCCAATTTGACAAACCGGCATCACATAACCTTTGCAACATGACCTCTAGATGGGATTTATGTTGCTCCCAGGTCTAGCTAAAAATACCAATGTCATCCATGTAAGCCATAGTGAACTCTCTCAGACCGTATGGGGTTTTATCTACCCTTTGGAGAATATAATTGACATCATTCATTTTGAAGACCACTGTGTATGGTGTGATTCACGCTAGCTGCAACTTATTTCCTTTTATGGGTCTTAACATTAATACTTCTTCTCCAGGACTGAATGTTATTTCTCGGGCTTTTTTGTTGTACCAACTTTCTGTCTACTTAGGGCCCCCTTTAAGTTTTCCCCATCTATCTCTAGGGATCTTTGTAAGGTGTTCATTAAATTATCCATGTATTCTACAATTAACTCAGGATCCCTTTCTTTATAATCTTCCCAGTTCTGTCATAACAAATCTAAAAGCCCTACGCCCTCTTACTTTATGACCAAACAAAAGTTTTTCTGTCGTAACAAATCTAAAAGCCCTAAGCCCTCTTACTTTATGACCAAACAAAAGTTCAAAAGGACTAAAACCTGTGGTTTCTTGTGGAATATCTTGATAAGCATATAGCAGTGGTTGTAATTTATTATCCCAGTCATTTGGATTTTCTGCCATATACAGACGCATCATTCTCTTTAATTCCATTAAATTTTTCCACTAACCCATTCATTTGGGGGTGGTAAGGAGATGACATAGTCACTTCATTCATTTGGAAGTAAAGGAAATTCCTAAATCTCTTCTTATTTTTGATGCAAGGCCCATTTGACACATATAACTAATTAATGGATCTGCCACAGTTTCAGTCTCTATGTTTCTTAAAGGGACTGCTTCTGGGTATCTGGTGCAAAAATCAATAATGGATAAAATATACTTATTTCCTCATCTAGTCACCCTGGATAGGGGTCCTCCAGGTCCAGACCTAAATGTTGGAAAGGGGTCAAGATAACAGGCAATGGGCATAGCTTAGCTCTTGTTTTGTTATTTCCAGTACCTCACTTCTGGCAAGTATCACAGGTTTGGCAATATTGCTTAATTTGCTGCCCCATCTCTGGCCAATAATAATTCTGTGCGACCCTTTGCTTAGTGCCTATGTAAAGGGTCTGTGCGACCCTTTGCTTAGTGCCTATGTGTGCTCCAAATACATCTTTGTGTGCTTTTTCCACAACCTTTTCTTGGTATTTAACAGGAACAATTAGCTGTTTGTGGGGTCCTTATCCACCCCTATAAGGTGCCATTAAAATGCTCCTATACAATAGGTCTTGGTCCACACAATCAAGGTGCCATTAAAATGTCCCTATACAATAAGTCTTGGTCCACACAATACATCTCTGGATGTTCAGGGGACAGTGGAATGGGATTCTCCTTAACTTTTTCAAAGAAATAATTTAAGGTGCTATCTTCCTTTTGTTCCTTAATAAAGGAGGAACTATTTGGATTTTTCATCAACACCGAATCAGCAGTCTCCCTTATTTCAAGATATTCCTCTAAACTGGGTCTTTCAACGAGAGTTTCAGTGGTTGGGATTCCCATTCTTTCTTCAGTCACTACAATCTGCCTCCCCTGAGAGCGGGTTACCATGCAAACACTCTGCACATGCTTTGAGAAATCCAAACCAATCAGACAAAGAGCTGGCATTTGATCTGACACAGCTACATTCCATATACCAGACCACCCATAGTAATTCAATGCTCCTTTAGCCATTGGCAATACTACAGAATCATAACTTACCCCTTTGAGAGTGATCCTCTCCTGTTCCAACCCCTTGAGAGTGATCCTCTTCTGTTCCAACATGCTTTCTTTAGGAATTATGTCTGTGTGACAGATAGTCACTTGGGAACATGAGTCCCTAAGACCAAGATCCTTATACTTGTTTCTAAAGGCACACTCTAAAGCTGATAGTGTAGCATGATTTTTGTTAGCAAAACCCTCTTATTAAATGTAAGCCTTACTCTTCTTCTTTTCAGAATGTATTTTCAAATAGAAATAGGAATTGTGTATTCCTATCCAATATACATTGAGTAAGAAGGTTGAAATGAGGGTTATGGGAAAGCGTTGAAAGAAAGCTAAACATTCATTAAACCAGGGGCTAGGGGCCAAATTTATGCCCTGAGCCCATAAATTATCACATTCAGTTGCTTTGGATTGGCATTGGGTCCAAAGCAAATGTGATAAAAAGAACCACAATTCCTCTATGTGTGCAACAACAAAAAATTTTATTTTAAAATATATATTGAGAGCTCTTGGAGGGGGTAAAATTACATGGTGATATAGTTTGCAAGGCACATTTTGTCCACCCATGCATTAAATTTATTTGTAGATACCAACTGAGGATTTGACTGTAAAAGTGTGACTAAATATATGTGGTGTTCTCCCATTTGCCTCTCACTCTCTTTAGGTTCCACCCCTTCCTCCTGGCAAAAAAAAGTTTGGCCAAGATTCTGTAAGTCTCATGTCTCTGAGTCAGTCTTCTTTGTTGCATTTTGTATTGCAAAAATTGTTACGGAGGGGGAAAAACAGGAGTACAAAATATTTTTAAATGGCTTAGGATGAATAGTGACATTGGGAAAATAAACGTCAATGAAGGAACTATGCACCAAAATGAATGTAATATTAGAATATCATTAGAAGAAGCAATTTGTCAATTGTCTGGTTGTAATACCATAAGATTCTCTGAACTCTCATACCTTGAAAATCAACTTGCTTCACCTTGTGTTCGTTATCAGAATGTAAATGCAGGTTTTCTTTGCACTGAATCTTGAATTATATCCTTAAAAAACTACCATGCTTCATCTTCTAATGATATGTTATTGGTATCATCTAGTTTGATGACACCAATAACAACACAAGATTGAGAAAAGATAAGAAGACAAAATGTTTACCAAGGGAAGAATTACAAACTGAGTAAAATTTATTCTCTATATGCTTGAGAGGAAAGAGGAAATTTGATAGCCGTGCAAGGTCCAGTTTTCAATTAATTCCTAAATGTCTCTTTCACCTAAGAAATTATTGTTTGATCTCGCTCCTCTTGTCAACACCAGTTTTTCTTTTCTTTTGTTGCATTGTAAAGGAAGAAGTAGCCCATGCTCGTATCCTTATCCGAAAGGGCGATAGATTGAGATTTGAGGGCCGGAAGGAGGTGCTTGTGGAGAACCCTTATAGAAAGACTCTTACAGTGCTAGACAAACCCTTTTATAAGCCTGGGGAAACAGGTAGGTGTGAGCGACCAAGATGAACCTGAAAGAAGAATGCAGTTGCTTTTCCATCTCTTGGTGTGGGAAGATATAGAACAATGTTGTTAACAAGTACGAACTGGGTAAACCAGCTAAGGATTTCCAAAGTTAAGCTGTTAAATCAATATAGATTTCCTCCTAAGAACTGAAATCTTACTGATCTTCTAGATCAGTGTTAAATAATAAGCTACAGGAAATCAAAAGGTTGGCACAGAAATGAGGAAGCACTAGCATCCATCAACATGCAAAAATTAGGCCGTATGTTGTATCCGTGAGGTTTGCACTGAAATTCAGTCTCAAATGGAGATGAGAAATGGCAGCATCTACAGCTCCATGTACTATTTCTGTATTTCCCTGACTATCTTGCTCCTTGTTAGAAAATCAGGCAAGTGACGAGCAGCCTAAGAAATGGAAAAATATTGTTGCTATGTTCACAGTAGAAGTTTGGCCTGCATTACAAATTAAATACTTTAAAAAAAATTTTTTTTGTCACATTATGAATAATAGTAAGACAAGTCTCTTGTGTGGAATCTCTGCATGTCACAATATATATAGTATATCACAGAAGTGAGTACACCCCCTCACATTTCATAAATATTTTAGTTTTTTTTTTATGTGAAAGCACTGAAGAAATAACACTTGGCTACAATGTAAAGCAGTTAATATATAGCTTGTGTAACAGTGTAAATGTGCTGTCCCTTCAAAATAACGCAACACACAGCCATTAATGTCTAAACCACTGGCAGCAAAAGTGAGGACACCCCTAAGTGACAATGTCCAAACTGGGCCTAAGTAGCCATTTTCCCTCCCATTAGTGTCACAAGTCTCAGGTGTGAAGGGGGAGCAGGTGTTATCACTCTCACTCTCTCAGACTGGTCACTCGAAGTTCCACATGGCACCTCACGGTAATGGATCAGAAAAAATGAATTGTTGCTCTACATAAAGATGGCCTTGTCTTCAGGCTGAAATGTCTGCAGTGCTGTTCAGTCTCTTTATTAAAGGGCTTGGATTAATATTTCAAGAGAATGGCCATCTTTCAGAGATGTTTCAGCTGTTAATTTCTGCTACTGGCTCTGGATTGACTTTGATGTCCCTTAAGATCCTTTCAAGCTGTATAAGTCAAAGCTTCAGATTAGCCATTTCTGAAAGCCGGAATAGTTCCTGACGTTTCAGACATCTGAACATGCAGTGTGAACACCTGCTAGATGTTGACAGTAGCAGGTTATTTTCTAGAGCCTGGAATGAAGAAGTGAGGCTGGAAACAACTGTAACATAAGCAAGTCACATAGAGCATCGAGGGGAAAATCCATTTAACTTTTAGCAGCAAAACATGACAAAAAGAAAGTGTAGAAGGAAGAAAGAGTAAATATATGAGAAATGGCTAATCAAGGAACAAGTATCTGAAAAAGTAGTAAGTATTGTCTCTGCTATATTTTTCAGTAAAGTTTCGAATTGTGAGGCTCAATGAAGAATTTAAGGCCCTTGATGAAACTGTAAGTGTTACTATTACAGTAAGAATACAGGAAAGTGTCACCAAAATTGTTGTTGTGTGGGTCTATTGCAAAGCAGGCTTTAGTCCCTTAAATAGCCAACACACACACCATAAGTGGAGTAAAAAGGCCACAACTTCATTAATTACAACAGGAGTTAAAACCAGAAAGCATTGGGTTGGATCCTGCTCACTGGGAGACCTGACTGCCTCTTAGTGTGGCACCACTGGCTCGACAGAACCTTTCATGTAAGACCACTTGAAATGGCTGGTTTCTGGAGACCATGTCGATGTATGCAACTCTGTGGCTCCTCACTGTACAAGGGCAGGGGCAATCTGTCCCACCCAAGCTGGGAGACTCCCCCCCCCTTTTGCTGGGATTCCATACCAGGGATTCCATACCAAGCAGAATATGCAGGTCCCCACTTGCTGCCCTCTGAACACCTGGACCCATCCTAATGCCCCAAACCAGCCCTTGAGTTGTGACAATGAAGGAGGGGAAAACCTTCAAGCAGTGCAACCATGAACCTGTAACTAAAATGCAACCAGCATGTCTGAAGAAAAGGGTGGGGAGGGAAGGGAAAAGCTGCTCCAAGGAACTGGGGTTTGGAAGGCCGTGGTTCGCTCTTTTAACATTGGTGAGTGGGCTGGGGTGCAAGTCCACCCCTTCTGGTCCACCAACCCACCTCCCTGCCCCCTTGCATCATGCTGGCCTATCCCAGCTGGCCTGTGTGACCCTTTGGGTGGGTAGCCAGTCAGTGGCCTTCTGTTGACATCACCACGTGGCTGCCGCCACAGTGACCCAGCCACCTCTTCGCCACAATGTGGGACCCCGGCTAAGACTGGGTTCCATCTATGTACAATGGAAACATCAAGAATCATAATAATTTCTTTAGATCAAAAACAAAACAAAACAAAACCAGGTGGTCCTTACACAGCAAGGGCAATAATACCATTATTGGGCAACTAATTAAAAAAAAAATACTAGCTTTCAATCTAGTCTTCAACAAAAAGTCTCAGAGGTCATGGCAATGTCTATGCCAGGTCTTCTTCTTCAAGTTCCAAAATACAGACTCCATAGACAAGTATGGAGCGTGGGTTTCAAATTCCATCCCGATGGTCATTTGTTGGATCATATCTCCCAACTCACCAAGCAAAAGACTCACCAGGTTTGTGAAAGGAGGGAGAACCAAAAAAATAAAGAGAAACTAAAGTCTCAGAGGTCATGGCAATGTCTATGCCAGGTCTTCTTCTTCAAGTTCCAAAATACAGACTCCATAGACAAGTATGGAGCGTGGGTTTCAAATTCCATCCCGATGGTCATTTGTTGGATCATATCTCCCAACTCACCAAGCAAAAGACTCACCAGGTTTGTGAAAGGAGGGAGAACCAAAAAAATAAAGAGAAACTAAATGCCAGATGGTCCTTACACAGCAAGGGTAATAATATCATTATTGGGCAACTACGTAATTAAAAAAAATACTAGCTTTCCAACTAGCTTACCAACTCACCAAGCAAAAGACTCGCCAGGTTTGTGAAAGAAGGGAGAACCAAAAAAATAAAGAGAAACTGTATTGTTGTGGTCCAACAACTTTTTCCAGGTCCACAAGTTCCTCCCGCACCCTTTATAAACACAGAAAGTAAAATTATTCCAGGATAGTTTTTTTTCCCATTGTTGTGACTCTCTGCAGAGAAGACCAACACCTGGTGAAACTGTCTTTTAACAACAATGATGTATAGAGATCTTTTTGGTGTCTAGACTGGAAACCCTGGAGGGAGAGCAAATGGATTTGGTGTGTACAGATTCAGGGGTGTACAGTTGGCAAGGGCATTGTTTTAGAGATTGATTTATGCTATCCAGACCCTGCAAAGATGTTGTGACTCTCTGCAGAGAAGACCAACACCTGGTGAAACTGTCTTTTAACAACAATGATGTATAGAGATCTTTTTGGTGTCTAGACTGGAAACCCTGGAGGGAGAGCAAATGGATTTGGTGTGTACAGATTCAGGGGTGTACAGTTGGCAAGGGCATTGTTTTAGAGATTGATTTATGCTATCCAGACCCTGCAAAGAAAAAGTGCACTACAGAAAGTAACATTCTTCCAGGGTAGTTTTTTCCCATTGCTGTGGCACTATGCAGAGAAGACCAACACCTGGTGATACTCTTATCTTTTAACAATAATGATGTATAGAGATATTTTTTGATGTCTAGACGGGAAACCCTGGAGGGACAGCCAACGGATTTGATGTGTACAGATTCAGAGGTGTACAGTTGGCAAGGGGATTGTTTTAGAGACTGATTTATGCTATCCAGACCCTGCAAAGAAAAAGTGCACATTTTCTGCAAATAAAAGCCCCCCCACCTGCCTGGCATTCTGCAGATAGGTATCTCAGCAAAAATGGTGAAATAGAAAGAGGTCACCATGCTGTTCGTCGTGTATGTTCCTTGGCACCAAACAGTAATGCCTTCACTTTGGGAAAGACAGAATTGAAGATGAGGAAGGCAAATAAGCTAAGGAGGGTCTCGCTTCTCCTCTTCAGACTTATAGCCCACAGAGATGGTTGCTGTTGCAGCCCTCATGCTACAACACCACCATTGGCTTTTCAACAATGATGGCAAGAGAAGGCAGCTGGCTGTTTGTTTCTTGGCAGTTCTGTAGAAATGCTGGAGGGGTTGGAAATTCTGTTTCTTATGATGCTGATTCTCTCTCTCTCTCTCTCATCATTTGCAGATCCCTTTGATTGAACTAAAAGTGAGTAACCATGAATATTCCTCTTGACATATTCTTTTGTGCTTCTTTTGGTATATATGGTAACTAGAACATTAAAACCTGTCCACGCTACCTTTAAAAAATATATATATTTTCAGGTAGAAGTAAGAATGGTATCATGCAACATATAAGGTATTACATCAAAAGGTAAAGGGCTGAGGGTTATGAGAAAGAAATAGGGGAATGGAGTAGAAAACAAAGAGTATAACCCTGATAGTACTTTCCAGATTGGTACAGAGATAATTTTTATTTTATTTTATTTATATCCCGACTGATAGTACTTACCAGATTGGTACAGAGACAATCTGTTATTCATTCATCTGTGTGGTATTTTAATTTCCATCATGAATTAAATTTAAAGTAACATGACTCTATCTCCTACTTCACAAACGAAGAGATGTGGGTGTCTGAATTTCAAAGCCATGACCATTTCCTCTCAGCTGGAGCGCAGGGAGCCCATGAGGGAAAACAGGCAACGGGTCTGAACTTTCCACAGATGTTCAGAGGGAGAAAAAGAAATGGAGTTGGAAGGGGGAATCCCATAGTGTGTTGTGTGTGGGTACATGCATGCACATTTCAATAAGATCCCAAAGATTGCCATAAAAGGATTGGCAGGAAAGAAGGGGGACTGTTGGTTTGAATGCAACTTGCATCACATCTACGGCACATGGTGAACTCCCAAAATATTCTGCAACCCCTGTGAGAACACTCACTGCAATTAAACATGTAATACAGGCTTCAAATCAAATCAAACTCAAGCTGAATTTTTCCAGTTTGTTTCTCCAATGGAGTTCTCACTCACTCACTCTCTGTCTCTGTCTCTGTCTCTCTCTCTCTCTCTCTCTCTCTCTCTCTCTCTCTCTCTCTCTCTCTCTCTCTCTCTCTCTCTCTCTCTCTCTCTCTCTCTCTCACACACACACACACACCTATCCAAATAATTTAAGATACTCAGCATGAGATCTGTGAATTTAAACACATTTGATTATGACAATCAATGGCGAACATTGCAGTTCTTTGTTGCAAAAAAAAGGGAAATAGCATTTGTATGACTCTGTGTGATTTGTTAATCCCATTTAGCAATGACAGCCTGGGAGTTAATTTTTGCATTGTTGTCACATGCCATACTCTGTTTAAAAAGAAGATAGATATTTGTGGTAAGATTTTCCACATTTCTCCAATGTTTAAAGTTAGAATTCATTTGCCTTTCTTCGTATGTACAGGATTCTAATGAGAACAGGATTGGACAATGGACTGATGTGAAGCCTCATCATGGCATTATAGATTTGTCCTTCCCCCTGGCCTCTGAAACAGCCTTGGGAGAATACACTATCAAAATTGAGGGAATGGATAAAGCCGAACAAAATTTCAAAGTGGAGGAATATGGTAAGATTCAGAGGACTTCTCCTAAGAATTGTTCAACGGTTCAAAGGAAGCACTTTCCTACTGTGGTGCACTTTCATTGATGCACAGTAGATGTGTGCAAACTGGATTTTTTTTTTTTACTCCAACTCCTAGAATTCCCTAGGCAAAATTCTGTGACACACACCAATGGACACATACAGACATTATAATTCAAAGCAGGGCAGCTACCATGGCCCACGCTGAAGTAGGTTTTATTCTGCATTAGAGATGGCGCCCCAAAAATCCAAATTGTCTTGCCCTTATGGACATCTGTAGCATTTTGAATGGATAGTTAAGTATGGCCACTTGAAGACTGACAAAATTAGTACTGACTTAATAGGGACTGACTTTCCTAGAACAATGCAGAACTAGATGATTAGAAAAAAAGACCTGGAATAAACCAGATATCAGTTCAGGTTCAGAATCAAACATGAATATGACTTCTACATTACACCAGCCCAACAGTTGCCTGCCATAAATAATGCCCATCTTAAAACCCCATGCCCACCCTAAAACCCACAAATTATTATTATTATTTTTTATAAATGTACATGATATAGGGGAAGGCATCCTTAAAACTGAGAGATCTATTAAAAACTACTGTATTTCTTCCCATGAAGCTACAGTACAGTCACAATTCTCCATGTTCTCATCATTCAATGATGCCCTTAACCTTTCACTTTTCCAGTTCCTATCTGTTTATCGACAGCAAAAGTCCAATAGGTTTTAGATCATGTGGATTCTTCTGTTTGGGTTATTTTTACCCTCTCCATTACAGTGCCAGTTAAATTTGAAGTGTTGCTTGAATTACCCCACCTAATCACCACAGCAGATGAGGAAATCCACGTCAAAGTGCAAGGCAGGTTTGTAAAAACTTATAATCTTCTCATGCTTTTATTTTATGCCATTGCTTGAAATTAGCGTTTCATTTTCAGTAAGGAGCACAGGATAGATGGATATCTATACGATCCTCTCCATTTCTAAACAAATCGAAGGTGAATTTTCCACGTAACTGTTTGCTTAAAAGAAAATTACGGTTCTAGCTTGGATTCTACCAATTAGACTTAAGCCTGTATTTACATTTTATGGCCGATCAGTCACCAAAGCATGCTAAATACAAGATAAGTAATAGATAAGAAAAAAATATTTTTATTACAACTCCCAAAGATGGGCAACATCTTTCATAATTTAGAATATCTCTCCAGAATGCATGCTAAGCACACTAAATACAAGCTATAAGAACAACTGCTTGTTATGGCAAAATCCTAGACAGAAATACTGTATGTCTTTTGCAGCTGTCGTATACAGAAACTGGAATCCAGACACCCATTTTCTCTTACTTGCTCAACTAATACAGAACTTGTTGAAAACACGCCACTCATTTTCCAACCAAAAAGATATTTGCTATGAGAAACAGTAGTTCATTTATGGGGTTCCTAAGTTGATTGATAAACAAATAACAAAGACCAAATCAAATGAGATTACATTATTCAAATGATTCTAGTTTTGTCCCTGTGTTAAGGTCTGCCATCTTCCTCCTGCCCATTTTGAATACATTCATTGGTTTGTGTTTATTTTTAAAGTAAATTTTAATTTTAAAAAAGAGAAGTTTTTTGTTTTGTTTGTTCAAAATAGTTGTTTTGGTTTAAAGAACTGCTGTTTCAGTTTGTAAAAGAAAAATCATGCAACATGCTGCTTTACTCGGGTATAGAGAGGGCTTTTTTTCAAAAATCCTTTGCCTGTCTACAAATTGCCAATTGAGAAACTGCCTGAAGTCATGGGTGCCTGACATACTACTCAGTCAGGTAAATATTTTTAAAAAAATATTAAATGAAGTGATTCATTACATCAGTGACAATCTAGCAGGCATGAAAAGAATAAATTCACTACTCCTGACCCGCCATAGACAATCAGGAAAAGAGTTCAGTTTCTGATATTCTGAAGCAGCTGGTAAACCACTTCAGAATATGAGATATTTAAACAGGGAGGAGAGCTGCAACACTCTAGTTTAGGGCATTCTAAGCAACCACACTCACTGAGGGTGGAGTAAACTGCAGCCCTCCAACCTATATTAAATGTAGTAGAGCACCGTGACAGGGGTTCCAAAAGGCGCAGGCTGGGATAAATTTCTCTTCTCCAGTGACATCCATGTGTGAATGTTGGAAGGAAAGAGTGGACCAACCCGATTCAACAGTGCACCAAACAGCAGAACAAATGCCCCCAAGGACAGCCTCTAAGAATTGATTTTTCAACGATAGGGAGGCTTTTAATATTTGGAAAGGAGCTTCTTTTCCATTTCCAGAAATAAACTTTACAGCTGATTTTGTTCCCCTTCTTGTTTCTATCTCCTTGTGCTGCCCACTACATTTTTTTTCTTAAGTTGTCATGGCCATTAATTGTTTAGGTTTAAACATGGCTTTAACTGGTTGTTTCTACTTTCTGATACAGGTACACATATGGGAAGCCTGTTCATGGAAAAGTACATCTCCATTTGACTCGTGATGTGTCGTTTTATTTTTCTGAAGATGAACAATTGGGAAGAGAGGGTTCCATTCATCTGAATTACACAGGCCAGGTGAAAAACAACACCACAGAACGAAACGTTAAGACAAGGTGCTACCACCCCAAACTGCCTCACTGAGTCTTTCACCTTGCCCTCAATTCTCAATCAATCAGACCGAATTGGATCAGGAGAGGAAGAGAACTGATTGATCATGCCATTTTGATTTACTGTATAGGAAGGGGTTTCTGATGACATCTATCCGAATCACCTCTTTGGGCAGTCAAATAGTTTTTCATATCTTTTAAAATAAGCATCTCTGAAGTAAATATATTTCATAACAGGTCACCTTCGCACTTCAACAACAGTGGGGATTTGTGCACAAGATATGCATTAACCAAGCTGTGGTAAACGTTTGCTAATGAACATGTACAGAAGGCAACACTGCTCATTAACGTTTCTTCTCTGCATCCCCAGACAGACAAGACTGGTTGCGCTTCTTTTACGATCAATGCAACAGGCCTTCATCTGTCTCAGAGAGGTTATGACAGTTACATTAAGCTTTCAGCGGATTTAGAAGAAGAAGGAACAGGTATATGTATAAAATAATAATAATTTTAAAAAGCAGAGGAAAATTTTATTTTATTTCCTTGTAATCTTAATACTCTTTCTCTGTAGACGTATTTTTCTTTGAGCCCCACTTTTTTTTCATAACTGTAGTTGCTTTCTTTCATAAACGCAGCTGTTTTTACATGATCAGATTTTGTGTGGTATATTTTCAGAACGTGGGTTACACTTCTCTCTTCAACAAGGGAGGTTAGAGATGGGGCACTGGATCCCTGTGTAGTTCAAAATCCAGGTACAAACTTTTACACCCTCCTCAAACATAATAAATTGCATTATATTTGGGGGGGGGTTATAAGAGCATCACATGAATTACATAAGAGTATAATAATATTCTGTCCTTTAGCTGCCTTTAACCAGTCGCCAGCTAAAGGAAAGAAAAAGCCTATTACAGAAGGGGCAAAACAGAGGCTCAATCTTCCCTCCCCCGCACAAGGAAGCATTAAAAAAAATCTATGTACTGTAACTAAGACTACGTTGCACAGACTCATATAATTCAAAGGAGTCATGTATTTTTCTAAGTTTGCTAGCAGTCACAAAACACCCATGCATTCTGAAGCAGGTTTGCTGTATTCCAATCCTCTAAATCTGAGCAACATGATTAGACATTATCGAGGTGACACTATTTCCATATTATGTGAATATTAAATTCTTTTTTTAAAAAACCCTTTGGTTTATGAATGTGGAATCTTGTTTTTCTGTACTCATGATTTAAAAGGCCTGGGAAAGGCCTAATATGCTGCACAATATCATTCTCGCGTTGCCAACAGGAAAAACGATGCCAGGCTTTACATAGCAAAGGGCAGCCTGAATGTTGACAACACCAATGAGAACAGTCAAGATGGTCTACAAGATAACCTCTTGTGCTCAGCACCATTCACACTGGTTGAAAAACAGTCCTACCAATTGCTTTGTGTTTGGGTGAGAAGTGGTAAATTGATGAAAAAAGGAGTCAGCTTCTAGTATTTTCCCTTGCATGGTGTCACTTTGTGAACAGTAGTGGTGCCGGGGGATTCCTGTTCAACACTTTGCCCATTAGCCTGTGGAGCCTTTCTTAGTTCCATGATTTACCACACTGTTTCATAGATACATGAACAACCTGAAAGAGGCTGTCCAGAATTTTGTGGTCTGGTACCACCAGTCTGCTGATCCATGAGGATACATGCTTTAGATTGCTGTTTTTTCACTCAGGGACCTGCAATTTCTTTGCTTTAGTGTGGAGGTAGAGATGTGGCCTATGATTGGACTGCAGTTTGAGGATGATTCTACATAAAAATCATGTGGATCCATGAAGACAGTACATCAGATCTATGTTTTTGCACCACTGCAAAGCCATGCACTGGGGGACCCGTGATAGCTGTGGTGAAGTCTATGGGGACAGATGGGGCCTAAGATTGGATAGTGGCTCAGGGATTCTCCTGCATAAAAATAATATGGATCCATGAGGATCCATGGGTTGGATAAATGTTTTTGCACCACTGCAAAGCCACATGGTTTCTGTGATGCAGTCTATGGGTGCAAATGGAAGCTATGATCTGACAGTGGTTTAAGGAGGATTACATTAAAATCATATGCCATCATGTGCATCCATTTTCTTTGCACCACTGTGGAGTCATGCGTCAAAAGATCCATGATTTCTGTGGTGTAGTCTGTGGGCATAGATGGGATCTATGATTTGATGGTGATTTGGCTAGGATCATACAAAAGAATCATATGAAATAATCAGAATCCATTCTTGATTTCATGGATCTGCACTTCACACAGTCTCCTCAAAACCAGTATTTTCACAGATTAAAAGAGTGAGCTTCTGAATGTTATGCTATTATTTAAAATTTATTTTAAAGTACTTGTAAGTAAATGAGGTAAACGTACTCCTCAGTAAACCAGGTAAACTTATTCATGAGTAAACAAGGTAAATGTATGAGTAAATTGCCTAAACTTGTTTATGAGTAAGCCAGGTAAACGTACCCATGCATAGCTGTGCCTAGTTTACTCATAAATTTACCTTATTTACTTATGAGTAAGTTTATCTGGTTTACTCACAAGTATTTTAAAAGAAATGTTTAAAACTTAGTCATGAGTAAACCAGGTAAAACTTGCTTTGAGATGTTTCCCAGCCACAAATATATTTTTAAATATGTTCACAGGCTGAAGTTAAAAAGGTTTTGCCAGAAAGTAGTTAAATACTTTCTTCCAAATTGAATGCCCCGGAGGGGTTAAAAGTGACAGACTTTTGACACTGCCTTGTATAACTGCCTAGCTGACTCCAGATACATTGTGACTAGTCCAAATCCAATACTATGCAAATAGTTGCCCTTTAGAATGTTCAGTTATTTTAAAAAATGACAGTGATTTCAGAGGTTAAAAGCACTCATTACCAAATATGAATTAGAACCATGAATGGCTCAATTTCAGTGAAAGAAAAAAAAAAAGAAATTAAATTGGAGTGTTTTATTTCAGTTATACAAAGTTTATCTTATCAGTGTATTTCATCTGTTTTCAATCGGCTGCAGTTTCAGGTCTCTTCCTTCTGCACAGGGTAAAAACAGTGTTACCTTTAAAAAATCATAGCTTGAAAACCATTTGCCCAAACATCCCCAAATTTGTCACAGGACAAGAGCAGATGTTTTGCTACATCTATGCCAAATTTGGTGCTGTTCCAGGGTCAAGTTTCATATTATAATTTTTTGTTTGGGGCATCCCTATTTTTGACTTGGCTTATGAAATGCTTGCTACTCCTAAGAGCACAGTATATGACTCAACCGGGCTTCCTCTTAAAAAGAAAAATTAATATGTTTTTTAGACAGCCCACCTCTCCACTGAGACAGCTGGGCTTTCTTTCTTTCTTTCTTTCTTTCTTTCTTTCTTTCTTTCTTTCTTTCTTTCTTTCTTTCTTTCTTTCTTTCTTTCTTTCTTTCTTTCTTTCTTTCTTTCTTTCTTTCTT